CACACGAGGAGGGAGGTGAGGGCTGGCGCTGGGGGGCCGTACCCCTACTTGGGTCTGCCAGGAGGGCACCGCTGGGTGCCAGGCCCTGTCGTGGGCTGCGGGCACCCGCACCAGCCCTGGCGGTGCCCTCATTTTGCACGCTCTTCTCCCTCCTGCCAGCGTAACCGCAAGCGCCGCAACCGCAAGAAGAAAAAACGGGCCCGGGCAACGCGGGATGGGGCTGCCCAGTCCGCCCGGGACAGCCCAGCAAGTACCGAGGCCACCGACGTGGAGATTGAATATGTCACCGAGGAGCCCGAGATCTACGACCCCAACTTCGTCTTCTTCAAGAGGATCTTCGACGCTTTCAAGGTAGTTGCTAAATTAGCACGGGGGCCGTAACTGGGCACCCAGGGCTGTGCCTGCAGTGGGCAGAGCCTCACGGTACCCACTGCTGTGCCCGCAGCTCACGGACGATGTGAAGAAGGACAAGGAAAAGGAGCCAGACAAGGCAGACAGGCAGGAGAGCGCTACCATGCCCAAGAAGAAGGGCTTTGAGGACGGACAGAAGGGCAGCGAGGATGACAGCTCTGAGGATGAGCAGGTGGACACCCAGCTGGGCATCATTTTGGGTGCCATGATGGCACCATTTGGGGTGTCGTGGTGTGGTTGGGCACCAAGAAGGGTCCTGTGGTGGAGCTGGGCACCAGGGTGGGCATCGTGGTGTGGATGGGCACGGGGATGGGCTTTGTGGTGGGAACAGGCACTGTTTTGGGCAGCATGGTGGAGATGAATGCCAGGATGGGCATCGTGTTGGAGAGGGGGACCACGGTGATTGCTTGGTGCACATGGGCACCAGAATGGGCAGCGTGGTGGGGACAGGGACCATTTTGGGCCCCGCGGTGGAGATAGTCACCGTTTTGGGTATTACAGTGGAGATGAGGACCATTGTGGTGACTTTGGAGAGGACAGGCACTAGAATGGGCATTGTGGTGGGAAAGAGCAGCGTTTGGGGCTTTGCGGTGGCGATGGATACCATTTGGGGCATTTTAGTGGGGACAGGGACCAGGATGGGCATCCTGGTGGGGAATGGAACCATTGTGGTTACTTTGGTGAGGACAAGTACCAAGATGGCCGTCATGGTGGGGACAGGGCAGTAGGGTGGTCATTGTGGTGAGAGCAGGACACCAGAATAAGTGTTGTGGTGGAGATGAAAAACAGGTGAGCTTTGTAGTGGGGCCAGGCACTAGGTCAAGCATCATGGTGGTGACAGGGACTGTACAACTGTACCACTGCACCTGGTCGCCGTGGTGGGGTAAGAGACCAGGATAGGCATCAGGGTGGAGATAGTCAGCAGGATGGGCATTGTTGTAGGACCTGCGGTGGGTATTGTGGTGGAGATAGGTACCAGGATGGGATCGTGGTGGGGACGGGGACCATGGTGAGCACTGTGGTGGGGAAAGGCACCAGGATGGGCATTGGGGTGAGGTTGGGAACTGCGGCAGCCATCACGGTGGAGATGGGCACCCGGACGGGCGCTGTGGTGGGAATGGACGCCATGGTGCGGACTGTGACCGCGGTGGGACAGGGAGTGGAGAGGACGCACGGGGAGCCGGGGGTGACAGCACCCACAGGCACCCTGTTCCTGACACCCTGGGGTGTTGTTGGCAGGAGAAGAAGCCTGAGGTGCCCAAGCTGTCGAAGAAGAAGCTGCGACGCATGAACCGCTTCACCGTGGCTGAGTTGAAGCAGGTGAGGGGACACGGTCCTCTGCCCACCTCAGGGTGGACCCGACACCTGTGTGCCCACCTGGGGACAGCTGTGACACCCTGGGGTGCCCTGTGCCCCCTTAGAGCAGACATGTCACCTATGTGCCCACCTGGGGACAGCTGTGCCACCCTGGGATGCTTCATCCCCACTTCAAGGAGATCATGACACCTATGTACAAGTTTGGGTGACACATAAGGACAACTGTGACATCCCAGGGTGCCCCATGCCCATCTCAGGGAGGACACGGCGCTCTTGTGCTCAGCTGCGTGCTGTGTGAGGACAGCTGTCCCACCTTGGGGTGCCACGTGCCCACCTCAGGTGGACATGACACCCCCATGTCCACCTGCAAACCAGACTGGGGACCCCTGTGCCACCCAGGAGTGCCACATGCTCACTTTGGGGAGGCTGGGACACCCCTGTGCTCACTTGGGAGCCACCTGGGGATACCTGTGACACCCCAGGGTACCCCGTACCCATCTCAGAGAGGACACAACACCTCCCTTCCTACCTGGGTGCCCCCTGAGGGCACTAGTGGCGCTCCAGGGTGCCCCATACCCACATAGATGATGTTGGGGTGCCCCAGGCCTGCCTGGTGAGCTGGGCCAGGGACGCCCCAGGCCACCCCCAAGGGTGACGCTGGCGCCCGCCTGTGCCCGACAGCTGGTGGCGCGCCCCGACGTGGTGGAGATGCACGATGTGACGGCACAGGACCCCAAGCTCCTAGTGCACCTCAAGGCCACGCGCAACTCTGTGCCTGTCCCCCGGCATTGGTGCTTCAAGCGCAAGTACCTGCAGGGCAAGAGGGGCATCGAGAAGCCGCCCTTCGAGCTGCCCGACTTCATCAAGCGCACCGGCATCCAGGAGATGCGTGAGGCCCTACAGGAGAAGGTACCTCCAGTGCCGGGGCGGGCACCCACCCAGGGTGGCCTTGGGTGGGGATGGGGCCTGTTGAGGGCAGTGAGGATCCATGTGGGATCCTGTGTGTCCATCCATGGCGTTTGGGAGGTGTTGGGGGATCCTCGGTGCCCCTTGGGGACGGTAGGGACATCCTGGGGCCCTGTTGGGGGCGTCCGGGGGATCCTGGATGCCCATCCAGGTGTGTGGGATGTCCTCAGTGATCCTGGGTGCCCATCTAGGGTGTTCAGGATGTTCTGGGAGATCCTCCTGGGTACCTATCTGGTGTTTCGAGTGTGTTCTGGGGGTTCCTGGGTGCCCGTTGTGGGTGGTAGGGATGTTCTGGGGGCCCATCTGGGCATTTTGGATGTCCTGAGGGATCGTGGGCACCCTTTAGGGGTGACCTGAGGGATCCTTGGTGCCCATCCAGGGCATTTGGGTCATCGTGGGTGACCCTGGCTGCACGTCGGAGGCAGTGGGGGACATCCTGGAGGCTTGTTGGAGGCCCCCTGGAGAATCCTGGGTGCCCATCAGAGGCGGCAGGGACATCCTGGAGACCAATCCGGCGTTTAGGATGTACTTCAGGGATCCCAGGTGCCCGTTGGGGACTTCCAGGAATATCCTGGGTGCCCATCCGGGACATTTGGGGTGTCCTGAGGGATGCTGGGTGCCGCCCACTGGTGGCATCCTGGGGGACCCTGGGTGTCCATTCGAGATGTCCTGGAGGATCCTGGGTGCCTTTTCGGCATGGTGGAAATATCTTGAGGTCCTATTCAGGACATCACGGGGCGCCCATCTGGGGAGTTTGGGATGTCATAGGGGACCCTGGGTGCCCATTCAGGACATCCTGGATGCCCATCTGGGATGTTTGGGACGCGGCAGAGAACCCTGGGTACCTGTCTGGGCTGTTGGGGACGTTCTGGTTGATCCTGGGTGCCCAGCTGGGGTGTTGAGGACATCTTGGGTGCCCTCTGGGGGCAGTGGGGACGTCCCGGAGGGCTCTGGGTGCCCCCCTGATGCCCAGCACCCACAGGAGGAGCAGAAGACGATGAAGTCGAAGATGCGGGAGAAAGTTCGGCCCAAAATGGGCAAAATCGACATCGACTACCAGAAGCTGCACGACGCCTTCTTCAAGTGGCAGACCAAGCCCAAGCTCACCATCCACGGCGACCTCTACTATGAGGTGGCTGCCCTCCAGCACCCACCTCACCACTTCTGGGTGCCCACGGGAGCACCCGGGCAGGTCCCCATCTGCCCCGGGTGCCTCTGTGGGTGCCCCCCAGCACCCACCTTGATGTCCCCCCCCCACCACGCGCCTGGACCCCCCCCAGCCTGCCCGGGT